ATGTTAAATGAGGGTGTGAATATGAGGTATCTTGAAACATTCTTGAGAGGAAATATTTGAGAAAGTCGCTAACCCAAGAAATAAGAACTAGTAAAAAGAATATATAAAAAAACTTGTTAGTGAGAGAGTGCGTCAATAACCATGAAGAAGTGAATAGCTGTAGTAGGAGAAAATGGAGAAACAATGATCAATGAGTTATTGACTACGAGAAACAATGAGAGGAAAAAAGGTTCATGCTTGGTTATTGGGACAAATACTAAGGCTTCATTTGGTTATTATGTACCTTTTCTAAAAGAAAGTTTTAAAACTGTTGTTTGAGAGAACGAAATTTTCTAACAAAGAAGTTAATATCATAAAGCTTTTGAAAACAACACAAAAATACAGTTCTCTAAAAAGCATTTCTGCAAAAGTGACACATACAAACAACAGCTAAAAAAAATTCTGTCATTTCGAAACTGAAAAGGCGAAATTAAGCCGTCTCAAACGAGACCTAAATCAAATCTTGAAAATATAACAAAGATTTGATTATGATTTGGAACTGAATGCACCACACTATAATGCAACACAAGGAAGTGGAGCGATACATGTGCTTTGTTTTGAGCTTGCACTTCATAGGTAAGCAAAGTGCAAAACCAATGTAATGCTCCGCTTCACTCATAAAGCATGTTTTTAAGCACACTTTTAATAGCAATGATGGCACACAGGAAATAATGATAACATCACAACAAGCATAATGTGTTAATGGAAAATGACCCTAAAGTCTTCTATCCTTTCACATTGAATCCATGCACCATCAGCTTGTCGTGCCCGAGGTGCTGCATATCGAGGCACAGTGATCTCAATGCTTTCAAGCTTATGAGATATATGTAAGATATGGGATAAATCAAGATCTGGATAATTATAATACCGTCACTCTCTGTACTGATGTACAGAGGGCGACTATGATCTTCCTTTCCAAGAATAATGTCATATTCAAAGAAGGTAATGATTGGCTTGTTTCGAGACTCTAGAACTTCAATCATCTTAAGCTCAACAAAGTATGCTTCATATCTTTCGGGATCTTTAAAAACCTGAATCAAAGTCTCCCAAAGGTCTTTAGACATTATAAGGACGTCTTATATGCTGAGTTGCACTATAAATTTTCTCATATTGGATAAGATGTTATAGTCTATCCCTTTAGCTGAAGTGCCCCTAGGGAATGTCGTTATTGATAACTATCTCCTTCCGTTTATCTTTATTGGGGACTCCCTTCTTCGGCGAAGGTAGTAGCACCTTGCCACTTCTCAACTACACTTAGGCCACTTCATTCGGCTCAAACTCATTTCGTAAATAAATTTCTTTAGAGTCAACCATTATTGCTTCAGGAGATTCATCTGTTGATTTAAAATCACCACCCAGATTTACGTGTTCCATTTGCGATGCTATGTCAAGATCTGATTCACCTTCATTTGAAAAATATAGATCCTCCTCTGAACTATATTCCATTGGTGACACCACTAGATAGGATTCAAAAGCGGTCTCCTCGGCATATTCTTCTTTTGTCGGTGTATCTGATATCACTGTGATGACTCAACATGTCTCTACAGGAAGCGAATCTTCATCATCTTCTTTTGCTTTGTAAATTTTAAGCTATGGCATGAAATCATCAAGTTTAATGAGTCGCCTCACAGTTTGGTAGTAATCATCAAAACTATTGATAGCCTTTTGAGTGGCGGTCTTTGTTTCTTTAGACTTCTTCAGTTTGACTTTCTTCCTAGAGGATTTTGCCTTGCCAGATCTTAAGGATCTAGCTTGGCCAAGGTGTTGCTTTGAAGTAGATGCATGTACCATAGGCAATCCCTTCAGATCTAGTATTGGATGGGTAGGAGATTTTCATTTCACACCCAGAACTCCTTCAAACTGCTTCAGCATCTTTACTGTCTTCTTGGAGACCGCAGTCTCCCATTGCTCATCCTGAGCTGGTTCTTTTTCTTTTCTTCTTTCGGCCGGGGGTACGGAAGATGACGTAACCACCCGAGTTAATTCTCTTCTAGTATGAGCTAGTACATTATCCAATAATGCGAGTTCTCCCTTCTTATATTTCCTTTCTAGTCAATTCTTGAAGACGTAACAATCTTCAATAGGATGGCTAATCGCCCGATGGTATGGACAATGTTTGGGTCAATAGTACAATTGGATTCTTCAGGCCTCTTGCATTCTGGCAGTTCTAGGCCCAATTTGAGAGTGTGCCGGAATAACTTGGCAACACTCTCCCTCTTCAATGAATATTCTCTATCCATTTCCTCCTTGAGGGACGGGAATGTTCGATCACAATTCTCGCTATTTGCTTTGGGCGTTCTCCTTCTCCCTGAAAAGTTCACGGCTTATCGTTTCCCCCAAGTATTAGCTTTGGTTAGGGATTAGGGTTGTAGACCGATTGTTTTCCTTAATCTACTTAATATTCAAGATGCTTTCCTTTATCAGCATTATATACAACCTGCTTTCCACTATCAACTTTGGAGAGGAATGTGGAGTCAGCTTTACCTCTTCTGGCACTTGAGGCTTTAGCTTTCTTGGGCTTATCAGAGTGGCTTTCTGATCTTGATAAGTTCAACTTTTTGAATTTCTCTACTCTGTCTAGTAGATCCTGAAATGCGGTGATGGTAGTCATGCATAGGAATGGTTGCATCTTATCATCGATATTCCCCATTAATAGTTGAACATCATGCTCCTCTTCTAGTTACTGTTCATATTTCATGCTTAAATTACGTCAGTAGGTTATATATTTGGTCACTGACTCGAGGTCAACAATTGTTATATTCTCATTTGCGTTGGCAAACCTCTTCATTAACATGACTTCCAATTATGTGAAGGTCTTCATAGAATCATTTGACAATTCAGCATATTATTCGAAAGAAACCACTGTTAAACTGTTAATGAATTGCCAAAAGAGTAATGTGTCATTGCCTCCCGTAAGATCACAAGTGACTTTAAAATGAAAATAACTATTTCTACATTAAAATTATGAATAAACATGACATAGTATTAAAAAATTATGAATAAATATGAAAAATGACTAGACTGAAAAATAAACCATCATGATAGTGAAAATAACTATTTCTATGTTAAAATTTTCTTTGTAGTTTAACCTAGAACCAACATTCTATTGGGTACCTCAAATGAAATTAATGAAATTTATATCCTTGAAACTTTTAAAGATAAATTACTTGCAATATCACCTAATATAAATCCCTAAATAATCAAACTAACGTAAATTAAAATTAGTATTAGACTCCAACCACTAAATTCAGAAGTACAAAAACAGGTAATGATTTGATTAAATTCCATACTGGTATGTCGAATACAAGGGAAATTGATTCCCATTGCTCTGTTCTACCTTCTTTTCATTCAATAAAAACAAATTGGAAGAAAAATTATATTAGATCATAGAAGAGAGAAAGCATAATTAAAAATCCAAAAGAACGCATATATCAGGAAGTGGTTGAGCAATAGATACTGATCTATGATGCACCGACACGCCTCTTAAAGAGGGTATGCAGTGTCGGACACGTGTCGGACACGGACACGCGTCGGACACGGCATTGGAGTGTCGGAATTTAAAATATTAAAATTTAAATCGGACACGCGTGTCCGGTTATTAAATGATAAAATCGTCCGTTCTATTTAGCCTTTTCGCGAACGAGAAGCCCTATTTTTCCGATCCACGAAAGAAATCTTCTAGGGCGGACCGGGAGAGCTCACAGTCGACGCCAAACGGAGCCCGCTGCCTACGCCTTCCGTTCCTTCGTCATTTCTGCTCGGCCAAGCAGAGCTCGTCTTTCCCATTCCTTCGTTCTTGCGTTATTTCTGCTGTCATTCGAGGCAAAGTTTGTAATCAAGGCTAAACAGAGCACCTTCTGCACGCAAGAGAGCCAAGAACAGTAAGTGGATTTCGCAATTTCTTCTTTTCATTGTTGAAAAACCTGATGTACATGCTCGGTACCGCTCGGTATCGCTAGGTACATGCTCTGTACCGCTCAGTAAATGCTCGGTACTGCTCAGTACATGCTCGGTACTGGTAGGTACATGCTCGGTACTGGTAGGTTACTGGTAGGTACATGCTCGGTACTGGTAGGTACATGCTTGGTACTGGTAGGTTACTGCTCGGTACTTGTAGGTACATGCTCGGTACTGGTAGGTACACGCTCGGTACTGATAGGTACACGCTCGGTACTGGTAGGTACATGCTCGGTACTAGTAGGTACATGCTCGGTACTGCTCGGTACATGCTCGGTACTGGTAGGTATATGCTCGGTACTGCTAGGTATATGCTCGGTACCACAATATCTTCACATACAAACAACTTACGAACTTTAAAAACAAGCAGAACTTCAAAATTATTCAATCAATGAAGAGGAATAAAATAACTCCACAACGTGCTGAAGATTTAGTTTATGTGCATACAAATCTTCGTCTTCTATCAAGGAAAACCCCACTTTATATGACAGGTGATAACAAGATGTGAGATGTTGCTGGAGATGGGTTCGAGTGCCTTGATGATATGGGATTATTGGAGGTTACAAATCTTTCTCTAGATTTGAAGGCCAAAGACCAACATCTGAATCTAATTTTATCATTCCCTCCATTAAGTAGTTAGACCTTCATGTTGTATTAAATGGTTTTTTGCTTATATTTTTGTGTTTGTACTAGACATTTTGTACTAAACATCTTTATGTTATAAGCTAAACAAGTTATCATGAAATTGATTTATTATTGCTTGACATTTTTACTATAATGTCACCTTAATTTTTATATATTATATTAAAAAACTATTATGCCGTATCCACGCCGCACCCGTGTCCTATATTTTTAAAAATTGCCGTGTCCAGTGTCCGTGTCCGTGCATCATAGATACTGATTTTATTACCCCCCCCCCACCTTGTAGTAACATAATAAACAATAGAACAGAATGGTAATTGAAGCAGTAGATAAAGAAACATAATTCCTGAAAATTCATTTACCCGTGCCCAATATGGGATCCAACAGCAATACCTGCCTGTCCGCAATGTCTTTAGGCAAATTTTGATATATTAGCTATAAAAAAAGGAAAATCGTCATCATATCAGTCAAACTAAATTTGAATAAAATGATAGTCTAGCTCAAACCTGCTGACCGTTATCTCCTTCCCTGTGAATAAGAACCTTTCCAATCTTAATCCCTTTACAGCATGCTCGCAATGCATTCTCCATACTCTCTCCACTGGTAAAAACTCAATCAATAAAAGAAAGCAAACTACAAATTTTTAAGATAATTAGATAACTAAACAGTGTCAACAATGGTAATGCATAAAGCCATTGTAGCTGGAGATTATACCCTTTGAAATTTAATTATTTTTTTACATCTTCAGCTGCAGCAGAATCATTGTCCTCATACTTGAGAAAGGGAGGGGTTTTTTGAATCATCTTTTCCATTCATTTGGCGTGGGTTTATTTATCAGGTTAAACTTCTAACCACGTTAGCTTTTGCCTACTTAATTCCTTAAACTTAACATCATAGTGAGGCAATTTAGGTTACTCAAATGATGGGGCAATAAAAGAAACTAACTGCCTAAGCCTGCCCACTATATTCCTAAAGGGATAAAGACTAAATGACCATCAAATGTCGTCATTTCAACTCCATCCTTCAAGGATTAGGTTCGTGCACTTAATTATGATCAAACATTACTCAATTTAGAATAAACTATTAACCAAAAAATGTATGTTTTTAACTACTGGAAACTCAGATTTTAGACCAACGTGATGATCATTTTCTTTGATCCAACTTAAGTTCAGTTTTTTATAGGAACTAAATTATTACATTGCTAGCTCTCTAGATTGAAAAACTAAAATCATGCAAGCTCTATAGGTTTAGGTTTGCATCTAAGATCAATATAAACTATACTAGGAAACATTCCCGCATAAGTACGGGCTTATGGACATTATACGGATTTTATGGAGGAAAGAGTTCATAGTAATAAACAATATATGTTCTCAAACCTAATGAAAAATAAATTTTGGAGAAGACATTATTTTTGGAAATGATGTATCCGGTCTTATTTTAGGCATTTTTATCATTGACAACTGGCATACAAATTCATGAGCTAGTGCAGCATGATGGAGATGAAATATTATATAAGTATTTGAACTTTTATATCATAGTAATTACTTTGCATGTTCTTTTTGTAGGTTATTCAATGCCATTCTAAAGCGGTCTGCTGTAATATTAATGAAACTTGTTATTTCTTTACAATATTCTCCCTTTTTTTACTCAATTGCTAGTAAAATAGTCATTGAAAGCTAAGTTAAGATTAGAATAAAAGAGAACAATAAGATGAATGTATGAAAAAATAAAGTATATATTAATAAATGATTATATTATAAGGATGATGGGCATAAAATCAATTATAATATAAGGTAGTGAAATAAACTTAAGTAGTTTGTACATACAAAATGGAGCTAGAAAATGCAAAAATAGGACTGGTGGTCATAATTAATGTAAAAGGATTAAAAACGAAAAAGGAAGGGAACAAAAGTAACATGGGTAGAGCAAAATAATTTATGCACAATATGTTTAACATTTCATGCAATACTGAACAAAAATGAATGGAAAATGTGGTTTCACAAAGTTGAACTCCAATAGTTGAGCCATGCTAATGATGATGATGCTTTAAGTGCCATAAAAAAACACATAAAATAGAATGGTCTAAGTTGTTGGCATTTTTGTTAATTTTAAATAAATGAAAGAATTTGAAGCAAGTAAAACATACTTAAATTTTGAAAACAGCCATTTTAATATTAGTAGGGTTGAAAATTAGACAATAAAGCACATATACCTTCAAATCAATAAAAAATAAGACAATAAACCAATACCTTCTAATAACTGAGATACCACATAACCTTTTGCAAAATTCAACCCCAGTGTATACAGATCCTACATAAAGCAAAATGATACCATGATGAGCTCAATAGGATACAACTAGGTCAAAAAGATGAAAAGAGGTGATAGTAAATCAATGTTATAAACCCTCAACATATGTATTATTGTAAGCAAAAGTCCTTTCATTGTATTAAATCCACAGGAAGTACATCCATTTTGGTTGATAATCCGCAACAAAATTTAGGCATCCCCATATGTGACACATGGATGAATAAATAACTAACACGAACTTTTGTTGTTTTGAGTTATGAGTGTAGTGGGGCCCATATGCCCGTGCTGCTTCCATAGATCCCATTTCTATGTTGCCATCACTAGAGAAATAATTCATTATTACAAAAAACTTGAGGATAATTCAAAAGACTTAAAATATATTTCTAAAAAATTTCAAAATTATGAAATCATCTTGATATCATTTTAAAATATTTAAAATCGGGTAAATTGTACAAAAATTAGAGAGAAAAAAAACTAAAAATTGTATGAAAATTTAGGACAATATAAAACGTCTTCTTTAATGGGAAAATATAAAAAACATCTTTTAACTTTTATTTATTATTTTAAAATGGCTAAATGATTGGTACAATTACCCAAAAAGATTCATTAAAAATTGAAAATATTTATAGAAAAACACAAAAAAATTACAAGTACCTTGGAATGGTTCGCCTAAACACCTTGCAGTATGGTTGACCCATGGTTAGACTTACTAAGTTGAATTTTCTTAGAAAGCATGCCAATGTACCCAATACTTTTTGTTCACTTCAAAAACTTGTACTATTGGCCCATTAAAGAGTACCAGATAAGTTAGATCATCAACGACAGCCTAACGTGTATTTTTCAAGTTTATTACAAATATGCTTCTTTATCTCATGTTTAACATCCTACAACTGAATCCATTTATTTATTTTTTTGTGCTAAACAAAAATTGTGATTGAAATGGAAGAAGGACATGTGAGATTACTGATTCCTATGTTTATTCTTTAGTTCACTCGGTTTCTGAGAAATGATGCTAAACTCAGTAATCAACATTTTAATTTTAATAGAATCATATAGAAGGTTGAAAGTCAACTTCATTTGCAAATTATAAAATTGTAAGATTATGAGTCTTAATATTTTGATATTAATTAATTGTTGGAGCAAATTTATGCCTTTTTATAACACTATCGTGATATTGTATAGAATCCTTGATTATATTATGTTGACGAGCCTACCCTTGACCTTAGGGATCAAGGTGGAAACTTCCTTTGAATTTTGGGTTGCTCATACAAAATTATAGTTTGACCAATTATTTGCAATCAATTTCAGCAAGATATTAGATGCATTAAGACTAGATAGCAATAGTACAACTGAGATGCTTACTTGATTTCATTATATTGCTCACAGGCTATAGTAGAAGGTTAAATAGTAAGTGCAGCCAAACCTAGTCCACGGGTTAACTTATTAGAAAGAGACAAGCTCCAAGTTTGGCCAGCTGGATTTTAGCCAAGCTTAAAAAAAAATCTGGAATACCCATGAACTTCTCTTGGATGGTTGCACTGCATTTTTAAACATTCTTTTATGATTTTGCATGTACTCTTAAATGGTCGGCAATAAAAAAATTGTAAGATATTTCTCTGGCCTTGACTTCAATGGCCCCAGCTAGAATAATAAAAAGAGTTTGTTCTCGCCTACTTGAAAATATAGTCCAAGAGGTATTAACTGACAAGCAGGTAACTTTGAGATGCCACCAATCTATCATGTGAAGGAGTACTTTTATATTCTAACCCAGATTAAACAAAAAAAGAAAGCCTTGGATACATGTCATCAAGTTGCAAATTGACAACAGCCTTCCTTTATAACAGATTCCTCGCAAGTTCATTATGTACATTGAGAGAACCACAAATATAGTAGATGATAGAGGCTGTAACAGAAACTAGCTTAAAGGAGGTAAAATAGCTAAAAACCAAAATGATATGGCGATCAGACCTATAAATCTTTAAATAACAAAGATAATTCAATAAGATGAAAATCAATAATTTAATTGGTTTAAAGAACATATCTTTTATTGACATGTTAGCATATGCTACTACTCAATCACCCAAAAGAATAGGATATCCAACAGCGATAGTCAAAGAACAAACATAAACCTTAATCTGTTGGAATGAAAAGAAAATATTTACCATATAAACTAGTCTAAATGTTCACCTGTTGGAGTCATTACTTGCTTTTCTTGGAAGGGAAGATGCCCAAGACCATGTTCAACGACCTATTCAACAGCCAATAAGCTTAAGAAGAAAGCATGTGTGAGAACACCATAAATATAGCTGTACTGGAAAGACACTAACCAGCCGAATTAATCGATCAGAATAAAATATAAAATCATGTTTTGTTGTTTGGGCATCACGTATTATTGTATGCATGCCACGAATCTGTTTGAAGTCCAAAAGATCGCACCAAACAGAAATACATTTTCAGAAAACAGCATACAAAAACTGGTTAAACTCTTGAATCAACCGTATCCAAAACTCCTAAGAAATATATATTATATGAATATAAATATGTTGAATACCTGAAAAGTCGATTGAATGACATAAAGATTAGGATATATTTTACAAAGCTCATGTTGACCAAGTTTTGTACAAATATGCTGCACAATCAAATCAATTGCGACATGATTATCTCCACCCCGAGGCATGATAATATCAGCATACTTCTTTGCTGGGAGTATGAAGTCTTCAAAAGCAGGTTTCACAAATTTTGAGTACTGCACCATTGAATACAAAAAATCAAATTATTCCATAAATAAACCTCTAACATCATACAGAAGGTGATATTTAAGGCACAACAATGTATTACTCTACAGTTGTCAGCATATCAATGGAAAATAATAGAAACCACCATATATATATATATATATATATATATATATATTCAACTTGTTGGTCTTTTCGCAAAAAAGCTTACCTCCAAACCTTTTTCAAGACTGAAATGAGCACTTACAAACTAACCAAATCTGTCAACTGCGTGATTTCCCTTAACTTTTTAATTTTTTCAGAAAATTTTAAAAGAAATTCTGATGATGCAAAAGCTCATAACAATATACAATTTAAAAACAAAAGCACCATATCTGTCATGAATAAAGGAATCACTAATGTCCACCAGTACTCTTGACTATTTATCTTCAGAAATAGCACCTGTAGATGTTTATACTAGTTTTCTCTTCATGCTCAAAAAATATTCATGCAAATATTGCACGTTTCAGATGTAACAAACATATTTTGCTGTGGGATGAATCTGCCGGTAGTTTATCCCAAACTTCCAAGCCACTCAATCTAGTATCCAATACACATAACTTAAGCTAGCTCTTTGAGCCAATACCTCAAGCAAAACTCTGGAGTTTACTCTAATCATCAATCCATCTAAAGGAAACCCATATGCGTCCATTACTAGTATAATTTGCCAAAAATGTAGAACTAATTTTACTTGAACTATGGGCCATAACTACTGGAGGAAACCCACAAGTGCCTCTGTAATCGCATAAACTTTCAAAAATCTTTATTCTGGAATATTATTTCACTTAGATCATCAAATAATAACAATCTCTATACAATAGATTTATGTAAAGAAGTTGATAATACCTGATCTAGTACAGTTTTTACATCTCTTCCCTTTTCAAAAGTATCACGACATATTCTCCTTGACAAACGTAAATCAGCATCTGCAAGGATTATTTTTCAGGGAAAATCATTCGTTTATTGGGAGGGTGGTCGAGGCAAAAAAGAGAGAACCAATGAAGAAACATAAATGCATACAAATTTGGCCATCTAAATTGCATTTAGGGAGTGTTAGTTTATTTTCACTTTATGTTGTTAAAATACATTAACTTGCATGGCAAAATACAAGTACATAAAAAGTTACACCAATCAGCTATTAAGCTTTTAGCCATTTTTGTCAGAATTGCAGTGCGTAGCTTAGTTTAGAGACAAGTTTATTGTGGATCTGTAAAATAAAATGCATTACTAACAAGAAAGTTGAGCAAATAATTGTGCTGTGAGAAAATATGGCAAATGATATCAGGAATGAGAATGTTTATCAACAAAATTGCTTCAATACAGAGTTCACACATTCTTAGCTACAGAATTTGGGAGGGTGAGGTTTATAATGCTTCCAATTATTGGTTTTAGTTTATTTGGTTTTCTTCTATTTTGTTTCTACTTTCGCCTAAAATCCAAGGGGACCAGCGAGCTATAGTTTAGGGAGTATGCTCGTTGGTTCCCAGAGTAGAGGTCTCAAGTTTAGATATGAACTTGTACCTGCTTTAGCTACATGTACGGTATATTCTCTAGCTCCTTATGTGGAGTTCATACAAGTCTGTAATATACCACAAATAAAAATACCTGTGATAGATTTCTATCCTATAGTTTATCACCATTTGTTCTGCTAAGAACTTTCTTTTGGAACAAAAAATAAACCATTAAACCAGCCTTGAATTCTCTAAAAAGCAATAAGAGTTGAAGGACCAGGAAACCTGAGCATAAATAATGGATCAAAACCTTCTTTTGGAGTAGTGCTCAAGCAATCAATCATAAATTGTCACAAATGAGACAAAATGGGGAACCAAGCATACCATTAGCACGTTAAAACTTGGTTTGCAAAATAGAAAACCCTTGAATGCATCAATTGGGTTTTGTTGGCCTTACTTTCTGGAAGATTATTAGAACAGATACAGCTAGGGAGGTTGACATAACCCTTGGTGGTGGGTAAAACTGGACTAGGATGGTGCAGACTTGATCCATATGGAGTGGAGTGAATGTGGAGAATAATTAGAGGGGGTTGATTTTGGACAGGTTGAGTTGTGGAGAGCAATAAAGGGTTGGCCAAGAATGGGCATTTGGGTGAATTATTTGTGGTCTTGGGGTGGTAGAGAAGGCTCCACCAAGAGTTTTTTAAAGTGTGGCAGAGAGGTGGGAAGGTGGTTTAGGGGTTGGTGAAGGTTAGGATGTGGTATGGAGGGGACTGGAGTTGAGGAAATAGCTTCAAACTTTCGTATGATATGAGACTAAAAAAGCTACATGAATACTCTGAGTTATAATGTGAATTTGGGTTGGGTTGGGTTGCGAATTTAGGTTGGTTGGGCTGCAATTTTTTTTATATGTAGTATAAAGTTAGATATTATATTTAATATTATTCTTATTATAAATTATATTTATATTTATGCATTTATATTATATATATATAACAAATATTGTTCATAACAAAATTTAAGCAGAAAAATCTAAATGCATCAATTACATATTCACTTTTAAAAATTTTATTTATTATTGATGTAGACACACAAGCAAGAAAACCGACACAAAGAGAACAATGGATAGAAATTAAACCAGATTTTATTAAAATAGTAGCAAACAACTAAAACATTCAAAATCCAACAAGAAAACACTAAGAGATTTTAAAGAAAGAAAAAACAACGCTATCCTCAGACAACCGTCAGAGCGGGTTCCTCACATGCATCGAATTGTAGGTTAAATAAGATAAGTGCATAGGACTAGCAAATCGATGGCCCACCACTGCAAGATCGTCCAATTCTCCCAATAAATGCTTCCAAGTCAACCAACAATCACCACCAAAGCTCAAGAAGAAGGATACAGATGGAGTGGAACTTGCGGAGAGACGAAAGAGGTTGGAAAGAGCTCGCAAGATTTCCAGAGGGGATGAGAAAGAATGGAACAAGCTCGCAAGCTTTTCCAATAACCCGCAGGTCAATAGCAAATATGCTCAAATAATCAACTCCTTTCCTTCACAACAACTTCTCATATTTATAGGCAAGATAGAAGAATACCATTAGTCACATAAATTAATTTTTCACAAGAACCCAAGCACCAAGTTTATGGAATTTCCCATTTGCTTTTCACGGAAAACAGCCCAGCTTAAGAAACCGAAGGAGCAACCACAGGAATCAAGTAGGCCGCACGGAACCAAGGCGCCAAAGCCACAGGAAACTTCCCCAGGTTCGGAAAACAAGCAGCCGATGAAGGAACCAAGGAGACAATGCTCGGAAACAGCAACCCCACATGAATTCTAGGCACAGAATTCAACCATCATTTAAAACAAGCCACGGGTTCCCAAGAGACAAGAAGAAAGGGGAAGAAGAGGGGATAAGTCCACCCCAAAATTGAATCCTTCATAATGAGCCACCTTTTGAACATTAATGAACTACTAAACTTCAGCTCAAACAACTAAGGGAATGAGCTCAACCCCAACTTTCTCCATTTATCACCAAAGGCCCCAAACAACTAACCCGTGAACCCGCAGCAGCCAAAGGACCAATCGAGCCAGCAAACCAAAGGTCTACCAAGCCCTATGCACAACCTACCATGTTCATTGGATGCTTTCCCATCATTAGATAGCTAAAAAAAAGAAAAGAACATAAAATATACTATTGTTTAAATAAAAATGAAATTACAGAAATATTTGATAGCATCAATTATATAATTTATATTATAATTGGATAATTTTAATATTTATTACGTCATTCGGTTCAACTCCAGTCAAATCATTGAACCTTGAACCTCTCCTTCCCAATCTATGTCAAATCTGATTTAACAACCTTGCAATTTACTAACCCAATGGACATCACAGAGAAGTAATTGAAGATGTTCACGGTTCATCCCTACTACATTTTACAATCCCACACAACAAAGGCTTTTTCCATGGTGCAGCGCAGAAGCCATCCACAGTCAACTGACTAGGAAGGATTTGATTATTCTATCCAATCTAAATAAAGTTCCCTCAGTATTACATTGATTTCAGCATAATTGGTTACTAAATATCATAACAAGAATAAGAGAATCTTTGTATTCCAATGGTAACACACACACACACACATATATATATATATATATATATATATATATAGAGAGAGAGAGAGAGAGAGAGAGAGAGAGAGAGAGAGAGAACTGACCCGTGTCAACAAAAATCTTCATGTTCATCAAATCCCTCAACCGATGATCATGGAAAACTAATATACCCTCCAATATTACAACATCAGCAGGATTGACCTAGTAAATTGTCAAAACGACAAAAGAAAATACTTGAATCCATCAGGAAAATAATGTTACAAATAGGCTGACTAATGCAAATATAGAAAGGGCAAGGATAATTGTTTAATTAAAGAAACTCTACATGCGTGTCAAAAAAGAACAGTCATGCAAAATATCATAACATTTAACAGGAAACGAGATAATCAGAATTCCTAGAATTCCTTTTTACATTTTAACTAAACAGGTGATAAAATATCAACTAATTGATTGAACTTAATGTGAAAAATTTTATTTGCGTCTGTTTGATAGATACAACGTGGAAAACCCTTAAAACTATTTGAGAACAATGAAGGATTTCAAATACGTTAACTAGTTATTTGATATGATTAAAGAAGCTATTCTAAAATAAGAAGCTTTGAAATAAATTTACCAAGTACTTCAATTTCCATTGCATGGCATGACATCTACGCATTTCATAACTGCTTCAGCTTTCAAAGCTAACAAAAAATGTGAACTCTGGTTCACAGTGAAAACCTTCATAAATTTTGAGGCAAGTATTAAATTGGTATTCATATGTATGCGTGTGTATTATGTGGCTTTCAATCTAAAATCCAAGATAAGAAAAGGTTTATATATTTTAATACATGTAATCCAAACAAATGTGATTATTTCCAATTTAAATATAATTAATTTACGAACTAAAAAGTACAAGAGATTGATGACATCAACCATTATCACATAAATGTTATAAAAAAATATAAATATTATTGGCTCAATGCTACAGTAAAAAATTAGTAAAAATAGTTCAATTGACATTTATTCATGTGAAAAAGAAGTATGTGTGCATAATAGATAAAATACTTGCCATACTTCTTAAATTTAAAATGCATATGTTTCCTAACTTTGACAATTTGAATGTACAGATATTATTGTTATATAAGTATAATAATTGAATTTTCTAGGTTGGAAAGCACCTCATGAACCAGTTTGGTCAAAGTAATTACATTTACTGGTTGCATTACTTTTTACAAAATCGAATAATATATTTGATAACACTTAGCACTAAATTGTTACCTTTCTTGATGGTGATACGCACTTATGCGTTTTGAAATCATAATTTGGAATTTCAACAGCCTTTCCACGCTTTAAGTTCTCCAAACAACAAAGTAGAGTTTCAGTATCAAATGCATCTGAAATTAGGCAAATTTCTTGTAAGAAATCAAATCATAGTGCCAGCGAATCAAGTCTCATTCCACAAATACAATCATGAAAAAAATAAACATTTGCAGATACACAACAAAAGCAGTAAAACGCAATACTGAATAATGTAAATATATATACAATTTTAGTAACTTGCATTCATATGCAAAGATCGGATACTTCCACCTTGCATGAAAATACCCCCCCCCCCCCCCCCCAAAACAAAAAAAAAAGCAAAAAAATAAATTGTTTAACATCATCTAAGGGAAAGTTACCCATCCATGCACAGCTTATTAATGTTTGCAATTATTTTTATAAAATCATATTCTGTTAATATCTACCAAGATACAAATTCAACATTAATATAGTTGTGCTTGTTTTGAAATTATTATAGCCCTGGTTTTTTTAGATAGCATTCAGTGTAGGGTTAAATTTCCATTGTGAAAATTGTGAAACTTGTGAGCTTGCTCAATTTCATAGACTATCCATTCTATTAAGTGAATGATGATCGAGTACTCCATTCTTGTTAATGCACCTTAATATTTGAGGACCTTAAGAAAGTAATAATATCTCTAGAGCCAAGAATTTATATCATCTATTGATGATTGTATACTCGAATAATGTGGATATATCTTATCAAACAAAATTTGATAGTCATATTCTCCCAACTTTTGTCACCATTATAAAAAATCAATTTAGAGTTAACATTAAATAGATCAGGATGATAATGCCAAAGTTTCTCCAAAGCAAATCATATTTCCATTTCTTTGCAAATAAAATATTATTCATCAATTCTCCTGACACCCAACAAAATTAAGAGATTATAGAAAGAAAAAAAAATGGACATCTTGAACTCACCATAATTCTTTTCTTACAAAATCAAATTCCTAAAATATATTAGAGAAGTTGTTCTAACCTTTCCACTTAATTAATAGAATACCTTTTGCTATTGTTTCTCATCTTCTAAACAAAATCATTGATTTTTTTCCACAAAAATTCCTCCTAAAAATTTTGGCTATCATATGCACAGATTCATAAACAATAATGCGGTAAACTAGATCCTAGTCACGTGTGTTCTTCGGAATTTCATCCACTCAAAAGGTTTATAAATGCTATCAATCAACCTCCAAAAAATTCATCATTTCAAAAGATGTCACATTCAATGAAAAACAAATCTATTTTAACCAAACTTATCTTCATGAGGAAAATAGTCAAATGAAAGATAATCTGATAAACATGATATCTTCTTTTTTGACAATTTAGCTACTAATCACGAGTACGACAACACCTGATCCCATTACAACTGATGCTCTTGCAACTAAATCACTTCAAGACTTCAAAGAAGGAAAAAACTCATCAAAACTCTATTGAAGCCCCTATAAAGTAACCTTCCTACAGCTAAAAATGATCTTGATTAAACTATAGCTATTCGAAAAGGTGTTAAAAATGTACAAACCTCATAACCTTGTTGTACCGAAAAAAGTAAAAAAGTAACAATGAAATTTTCTAAAAAATTTATACCCCATTTTCACAAATTCTAAAACTGATCGAAATTAATTTTAAAAAATTCTACACTTAATAATAAACATTTTGATACATTAGTGTACATATAAATAATATGATTATATTAGCTTAAATAGTTAATTCACTTATTAAATAAATTAACCGATGTTTTAACTAAAATTACTATTCACAAATTTATTGTCTTGAAGCAATCCCCTTTTCCACTTATACTGCCATGTAATGATGGATGTGAAGTTTATATGGATCCTCCATCAAAATTCAAGAGTTCTTTTTTAAAACCTAATTATGTAGGCTAAAAAAAGATATATATGGGTTGAAATAATCTCCAAGAACATGATTTGCAAGATTTACAAGAACATGTTAAGAATGGGATACAAAATGAAAGAGACCAGATAATGGGATCCAAAAATTAATGCACAGGCTCTGCTAAGAGAGTTTTTTAGTTTTTAGGTTAAATTTTTAAAAGACATTATTATTTTTTCATGCAAAACTTTCATTTTTTGCATGCAACGAGATCACATCGCACCTCGGACACAAGCAATTTTTTGATCGTGCGGCGACCTGGTCAATATGGGTGTCTATTTAAGTTGTTTCTGCCATCCCAAATGCGTAAGAGAAGTTTGCTTCGCGAGCGGACACTGTTCGGGATGATTTCAACTTTTGATTAACGCATTTCAAACCTAGTTCATGCAATTTCACGCGTCACTCACTATTCTAATCGTATTTGGTTGGGTTGACTTTGGACTACTTATCAAGGTCAATATATATGATCTTTAAAGAACATTCGACTAAATGGAAAGTGAAAATTCTTATTTTTATGTTGATGATATACATGTAACAAATGATCATAATGAAAAAAATAAATTACAACAAAAAACTTAATGCAAAATCTGTGATTAAAAATCTCAACAAGCTTAAGTACTTTCTAGACATATAAATAGCTCAATAAGAAAATGAATATTCATCTTTCAACAACAATATATCTTAACCTTTTAAAAGAAATAAATATGTAAAACTCTAGTAAAGTTGTAATATTCGGGCTTTGCCGGTTCAACTTGGCCGATTCAAATGAACCGGCCTATTGTTATAATAGAGATGGAACAGCGGACAAAGCCGCAACCTGAGCAGGCCGAATGCGAGATGGACTGAGGCTAGGGAGTTCCAAATTGCGTTTTAAAAGAAAATTTAAGTACAAGAATGAAATCAGGCGACTCCTCACAAAGAATAACTACCTCTACGTTCATCATTGCTAAAGAAGAAAAAATCACGAAGAGGCAGTGAACGAGAGAAAGAAGAAGAAGGAATGTTTGTTTGTCAATTCTTTCCATTTATGTATAAATCCTTCCGTAATATTTTATATAAATTGTAAAGAATGTCTTCTCTAAAGGTAAAGGAAGAAAAGTTGAAGGAGAAAGAGAAACAAATTAGAGTTTTGGGTTTTCTTCCATTCTCTAACTGCTGAAGAAATAGTAAGTACTTAATTTATCGATATTTTGTTATTCAACTTAGAATATTTATATTATCATTTTTCTCACTAAAGAAATAAAAAATTATCATCGATAGAAAGAATTCAAGCGAAGCAAGATTAAATTTGATATTGAAGAAAGGAAATGTTCAATTGGAATGAAAGATTTTGTAAGGTAATTTTATATTATGAAGATTGATAGTGAAATAAATTGTGGAGGAAATTAAATGTTTCTTTTTTACGATATTTGAGATATCCAAATTACATTTTAATATTAATTAAAATATTATGTTATTGTGAACATATAAAGGTTCTCATACTGAGATGACTATTGGGGGTATATTTCAAGGGATTAAAGATTTGGAAGGAATTTGAACATAAAAAAATATTCAAAGTGGGTAATTTCAAATGTATTAAAGCAAGTGCCAGATTCTTTTTTATGTTATTTCAATTTATTTTAGTTATTGTAATTACTACATGATTAAAGCATATGTTGATTGGATGGTTAATATACGAATAAATTACTTGAGAAGAATAAAAGTAATGGAAAGGTGAAATATTTGCTACATAATTTCTAAAGAATATTATAATACACCTAAAGTACTTAATATAGTTCAAATGTTAAATATACAACCAATTTGAGATTTTTTCAATTAATGAGAAATATATATATATATATATATATATATGAATAAAAAATCCTTACAAATTACTAAAATATGTGAAGAAAAATGAAATAAAATAAATAATAATTTATATGAAAATGATCTTGAAGAAGATGTGGAAGGGACTTTGCCTAATATTGATTTTTTTTTTAAATCATTAGCAGAATATTCTGCTTAAGCAATTGTGCCTAATATTGATGTTAACCTAGATGTACTGACACAAACGATGAAAAATATGACTCAATTAATTCGAGACTCAAGAAATTAAGAATTAGGAAGCGACAGTAGTGATGGTGGAAGAGGGACCAATTAAGGCAGAGAACTGATTGTTGCAGATTAAAAAGATTTTAGAGAAAATGTTTTTTCCAGAGGAGAGGAAAATTTCATTAGCGGTTTTTGTACTTGATGGTGAAGCTGAAAGGTGGTGGAAGAACCTAACATTCATATCAAGTGGGATGACTTTACTCAAATGTTCAGAAACTTGTTTGTATCTCTTTTTACAAGGAGACATATATAGGATAAGTTTCTAAGATTGGTGCAAGGAAATAGATCAGTCATGTAGTATGAGGCTGAGCTTACTACATCATCCATATATGCTCCTCAGTTAGTATTTACCGCATAAGAAAAATGTCACCATTTTTTATCTAAATTTAAAGATGCAATTAGGCAGCCTCTTGTTCCTCTAGGGATCGATGATTATTTTGTATTGGTGGAGAGAGCTAGATGGGTAGAAATGGATATGTAAAATACCCAAATGAGACGTGAATTTCAAAAGAGAAAGAGTGCTGATGTTATGGGAGCTTCCCAGGATTCTCATAGTAGATCAATGTCACAAATGTCACAATCTGAGAAGTCTAACAATAAGAAGGAAAAATTCAATAACAATGGGAGTCAGATGAGTTTGAATAACTGTAGCAAACATGGAAAACAACAAGGGAGAATGTCTATGTAGGACATTTACTTGCTCATGGTGTCATCAACTTAGTCAACCCTACTCTGAGGGCAGAGGCCATTAGGGGAATCAAGGATGAATGCTGAACCTTCTCAGATAACTGTTGGTAGGCCAAGGATTATAGAATCAACTGCTTCCACTCCAGGTTAAAGTCAAAGTAGATCAAATACTCAATCTAGAGTATATGCACTATCTCAACAAAATGCCAATGACTCACCTGAAGTGATTACATTTATGTTTTTCAATTAATGAGAACTTAAATTTCTACATTATTCATTAAATAATATAGAAATATTTAAAGAAAGAATAATATATATATATATATATATATATATATATATATATATATATATATATTAATTCCTATAAGATTTTATTGGTATA